AGCCAGCCGCCTCTCGGTGCCGGGCAGGGGGTCCCCGTGTAAACATCCCCCATGCTCCACCCCAGAGCCAGCCGCCTCTCGGTGCCGGGCAGGGGGTCCCCGTGTAAACATCCCCCATGCTCCACCCCAGAGCCAGCCGCCTCTCGGTGCCAGGCACGGGGTCCCCGTGTAAACATCCCCCCATGCCCACCCCAGAGCCAGCCGCCTCTCAGTGCCGGGCAAGGGGGTCCCTGTCTAAACAGCCCCCGCGCCCCACCCCAGAACTGGCTGCATCTCACCGAGCTCCTGTTCCCCCCCAGGCTGATGGACCCACGCCGGTGGCCACGCTTGCCCCGGAGGTCAGGCCGGGGCGAGGTCTGCGTCGCCTTCGCCGGCCTGTGCCTTGCGGTGCTGTGCCTGGAGACGGGGCTGGGGCTGCAGCTTAGTGCCTGGGTGAGCTGAGGGCCCGGGGGGCTCCAGTGGGGCCACGGAGAAGATGACCCGGGGCATCGACACGTCCCCAGCGACCAACGGCACCACCTTGCCCTCCAGCAAGGCCAGCCGGATGCCTGGGTCCCCCGGGGCCGTGCCTAGGCCCCCCCCCGGCCAGGGGCTGGCTCCCTGGCACTGGAAGCTTCCTGCAGCGCCTGGAGGAGGTGCTGTTCGGAGGGCAGCGCCGGGAGGGGGCCCCACGGCTCAGCGGCCCCGGGGGCCCCTTGCCCTGGCACCTCTGGAAGGAGGAGACGTCCCCACGGGACCGGGGCCGGGGCTGCTGTGCCAGCTGAAGGCTCAGGTGACGGTGTGGACCCTGTACCCGGGGGAAGGGCCCTTTGCCACCCCCGAGTGGAGGGGGGTTCTGCCCCAGAGGGACCTGGCGGAGGAGCTGGCCCCCTGCGGACCTGCGCCGTGGGGAGCTCGGCCGGGTCCCTGCAGAATTCAGGCCTTGGCAAGGAGATCAGTGAGTGCACGGGGAGCGTGAGTGCCAATTCGCACGAGGGGTATGTGCGAGCATGAGCAGCCTTCTTCGCACAAGGGGTGTGCCTGGCCCCATTTGCACGAGGGGTGTGTGTGACGAACTGGGACTGTTCTTAATGTGGTCTGTGAATGCTGAGTGGGGAGTGTTGGCTGGGAAGGTGGCAGGGGGGTTTGGCTAGGATGGTCTGCATTGGGGGATGGGAGGCTGGCCGAGGGAGAATACCTGAGCATGTAAGATGAGAACCCAGAAAGGGGTTAGAGGCCAGGTGACACCTTTGCCCGCGAAACTGAACAAAGGCTGGGGGAGGGGTCGCTGAAGGCAGAGTTTCAGGAGCTGGCTGGTGATGTGGCTGGGGGAGGGAGAGGGCTCTGACCTCCCAAAGGGGCTGTGGTGCCCCGGGACCCCAAGATGGAACTAACGGAGGGGGGTCCTGTTGTCTGTGCCTGCAAGACCTGTCTTGGACTGTATTCCTGTCGTCTAAATAAACCTTCTGCTTTACTGGCTGGCTGAGAGTCATGGTGAATCGCAGGAAGCCGGGGGTGCAGGGCCTTGTGTCCCCCCACACTCCGTGACAACTGGTGGCAGCGGTGGGATCTACTGCACCCCGTGGACGGCGCTTCCTGCAGTAAGTGACTGGGGAGCAGTAAAACAAAGGGGGATCGACGGGGACCAGGTGGGCTGAAGAGTCAGAGAGAGACGGTTCAGGGGGTGATTGACCCCTGGGAGTGTGTGACCAGAGAGAAGGACTGTTGCCGTAACAGGGTCCCCCGGGGGATCGCAGCGAGCGGTCCTGGGGTGGAGGAGTCTGCAGCTCGACCCTGGCAGAGAGGGGGTGACGTGAAGAAGGGCTGGCACACTAGGGGTCTCCCTGGAACGGTGGAAAGCGGAGAGCACAGGCCGGCGAGTGGCCAGCCGGAGGATATATGCTAAACGCCGCAAGAGCGACCTGGTGGAGCTGTGCAGGCAGAGGGGGCTGCGCACTGGGAGGTCCACCAAAGAACAGCTCATCGCCCGGCTGGAGGAGAGGGATCGCTTGGATGAACCGAGCCCTGTCCCTGAGGGCAGCCGCCCGGCGGATGCAGCGTGGGCCCCGGGGCCTGACATGGCTGGGAGGGGTCAGACTGCTGCCGAGGACATCCCGAGACCCTGCCTACCTATGCCTAGGGGAAGGGTTGGGGGAAGCCCAGCAAATACCGAGGGCACCCTGACCCCGCTGGCCAGCAGGGGATCGTCCCGGCGGAGCTCCCTGTCCTGGGAGCGGATGTGACTGGAATGTGACAGGGAGCTGAGACTGAAAGAGCTCGAGTTAAGGCAGCAAGAACTGAAGCAGGAGCGGGAAGAGAAGGAGAGACAACGTCAGTGTTGCTGGCACAGAGGTGCCCGAGGCAAAGCAACAGGGGTTCGTTGCCCGGCATGCTTCGCGCCAATAAACACACCGGGGTGGAGAAACAATCAAAGGTTTATTTGAGATCTCAAAGTGGTGCAAGGAGACAGGCAAATCTCAAATCGAGCACACAGAACAAGGCAGCTTCTCTCTTCTTATACTTTACAATTAAGCCCCCCCCTTCTCTCCCCCTGTATCACCCCCCCCACTCCCCCTCCCCTTTCTACCGAAGACATGTCTATACATTTAAGCCGTTAAATCATTCTAGGGCTATAAATCTAGCTTGTTAGTAACATTCCTCTAAACAATCATTGGGTCCTATTTACTCTAGTTTACTACCCCTCCTCCAGCTAGAAACATG